AAACCCAACCCAAAAAAACCCAAAAAAACCCACCTTAAAAAAACCCAATAAAACCCAAAAAAACCCAAAATATATTTGGGTTTTTTTTAAAATGACCTATTTTACAACTGATATCTCTGATTTTAACACTTATAAATGCTTTATTATCAGCAAGTGCAACCTTTATACTGTAATTATTCTTGTAAACACTGTATTTATATACATAATGGTCTTTAGAATATATATTCAAAATCGATCAATCTGTTTTTGTAGCAAGTTGGTTATTTATTATTTTTTTAAAACATTTAGCAAGTTATTATAAATGTTATTGAAATATGTATTAAAACATTAAATTAGTTAAATACTTATAAAGGAAATAAAAATCATTCTATTAACTAAATTTCAAGACATTACTAGTTATTTAGTGTCTTTATTCTCCTCCCGAATGTCTATATTCCTTTATATTGGTATTTGATCTTTATTTTTTTATGTTGTTAACAGCAAAAAAAAAATACAAAGTCACAAGCAAAATACTATATATAAAAATTATTAAACTTTATTTACAGTTTAGAAATGGAAAGTTGTCAGGCAAAAAAAAAAATACTACAGTTTACTAGATTTGTCCTTAAGTGCATACAACTTTAAAACTTAAAAAAAATTAAGTTATGTGCAAGCAAGCTTGCAACATGTTTGCTCATTCAACGAGAGAACATGTTGAAAACTTGTATGCATTTCACAAAGACAAGATTTGTTGGTAAAAATGACACTCGTGCTCATCTGTCTTTTGACAGGTTTTGAATATTTTGCATCAGCTACAAGTTACAACATGTACCACCAACAGGGGTGACTATGAACAGCGGGTTGAAAATTAACATCAGTATCAAGTTGCTAAAAGGTGAAGAAACACACACACAATAGAGCTATATAATGTGTTACTTTGATTCAGTTTGCAATTTGCATTGCAAAACTGAGCTGGTAAAACATCTTCAAGGAAAAAAAAAACTTGGTGGCGAAGAAACTGTATGGTTTTTAACAAATTTACTTTATATATATTTAGAAACAAAGTTTAGGCAAAAATCCATTTTTTGCCAGTTGATCAGGCCGATAACTTTTCCAGGAAGCTGGACAGTATAATGTTCTGATAAAAAAAATGTAGTGATTAGGCTAGCAGTTTTCTTCTATGATACAAAAATGTTTAAAAGTGTTCATAGTCATCCTGATTGATAATAACTTATAAGGTTGCAACATCATGTTGCAAACTTGTTGATTACACGTAGTAAACTTGTGCAAAGTAGTTTTTGAAATGATATGTTGAACATGTTAGTAAAAAAAACTAGTTTGCAACATTTATATTGTCTTACCAACTTTGAATAACTCAATTGTCATGATTTTTACACTGATTTTATTTTAGTTAAAAATATTCTGAACATGTTTTTAATTTAGAGCAATTAATTAACATCATTTATAGTTGATGGATCCCCTTTTTGCACTATAGGTAAAATGAGCTAGTAGACTAGTAGCAAAACATTTGGCTCACAACCAGAAGGTTGGGGTTCAAATTACCTCTGCTGAAAGTCTCAATCTATTTCTCCACACAGCGCCTTTGTTTAAAAACTTTAGTTGTTAATGTTGTTTGTTAGTAAAAATGGTAATGTTAAGGTATGAGACAAAATATTTTTAAAAAATGAGTTGCTCCCTTGACTAAAATGGTCATTGGAGCAATAGGGAGGTGAATTTATGAAACTAAAAAAAAAAATTATTGTACTCATACAAATTATAAAAACTTGGTATTTTGATCGATTTTTAAAAAAACCCAAAAAACCCATAAAACCCAAAAAAACCCAATAAAACCCAAAAAAAACCCATTTGGGTTGGGTTTTTTTAAAAAACCCTGGGTTTTTTCCAACCCTGTTAGCTATTAAACCTAAAAGCTTATCCTGAAAATAGTATGATATCTCAAAATTTTTTTGTTTTTTTTTAATATTGCTAAACTCTCAGTAACACAAAATTTGAAATATTTTCTGCAACAAAAAATTTATTGCAACATGTGCAACAAAAAATTTGTTGCAACATCTGCAAATTAAAATTTGTTGCTAACAAAATATTGAAAACATAAATTGTATTATATTATATTCATGAATTTAAATTAATAAAATAGACACACCCAGTCCTCCATACATAATGGAAATCGACTTATCATTGAAGATTTCAAACGTGTAAAAAACTCTCTCCTTACCCATTTATCATTGCTTTGAGGCAGAAAATCTCTGCAATAATTAATTAAGGAGGTTTTTAACTGTTTTTCTATATTGTTGAAGCTTCAGGAAATGGTACTTTTAAGATCTAAAGAATACAAAATATTTACAATTAAAAAAATTTTAATAAGTAATAAAATTATCCCTAAACAAATATTATTGTTTTTAACTCAAAAAGCACATTTTTAATAATTATGGGGCAAAAGTAATTCTTGAAGAACTATTATTACTGAAATCATAATACAACAATTAATTGCTTATCACTAATAACTATTTTACGTAAATTTATAAAGGACAGTTCCACACAAAAATAATGTTTATATTACAAAAAATTTAAATTGGGTATTGCTGTTGGAAACAAAAGTATTTTATTTGTGTTATCAGATCATAATTGAAGGACACACCAAGGAAATAGAACACTGTCTGGTTCTATATATTTAATACCAGATGAAATTTCAGCTGTGATGTAAGCAGAATAACTTTTAATAATTAACTTTTGCGCTTTGAAAATACGTTTTTTAATTTTCTGTTAAAATTTCAAAAATTTTATAGAATTCTAATTTATTTTCATTTGTGTCAGAAACAATGTCACCTTGCTTATAAAATATTCCATTAATGACTGCACTTGAAATCAAACCATCCTTAAACTTTAATTGATCAACCTCTCCATAAACATCACATCGTCTTTCACCAAAAGAATTAAAAAACAATCCAGTTGTATTTACAATCATTGCTTTGCAAGTTGAATATGGAATGTTTTTAAAATTGAAATGTCTGAAATTTTTTATTACTTGATGTTTAGGTTCAAATGCAAGACAGAGATGCCCACATAATGAGCCAAATTGAGATGCTTGTGATGGATAGTGTACAAGAAAATGTAGTTTTGGAATAAAACTGTTTGAATATAATTGAAGGAAACTGCCGTGATGTGCTTGAATACAAACCCTTAGGTCCTTAATATAAATATCAGTTACTAACGGAGACATACATAGCTGCACTATTTGTATAAGTTTAACTAAGCATGAAAGATGAGGATCAGATAAATCCATAAATCTTAATAAATAAAAACACAGCACACGAGAGAGAGTTAATATTTGTCCATTACCAAATTGTCCTCGGATTTTAAGTGAAGGTAAAATAATATCAGGCTTTTCAATACCAGAAGGATATTTATATGATTGAAGCCATTGGTTAAGATCAGCTAAGGGAAACTTTTCTGGTATACAGTACAGTAAAAATAATTCTAAATGGAATGGCACAACCCCTTCCAATAAATCATGCATTGGATCAAAAAGCAACTGCTTGGTGACATTGAAGTTTGGAATATCTGATAAAATACTTAAGTTAACAATACCATAATTTCTTGACCATTTTGTTCTAACAGTTTTACTTAGCCCAGAATTCAATTCATTTAAACGTATGACATGTTCAGGCAAATTTCGAATCAGACACTCTTCGTGTGTTGTAAACTCAATCATTTCAGCCCGTGTAGAATTACACTGCCTACAGCAGCGAACAGTTTTTTGACTAAATCCTTCTATAATCCTCCGATTGAATTTGCTGCTAAAGAATCCCCAGAAAAATATAAAACCTCAGCTGTAACTGTCATTAACTTTCTAGCAATACTTATTTTTACACCTGTATATAATAGTTGTATCGTTTCTTTAAAATCTTTAAGTAAAGAAGAAAAATAAATAAAATTTTTAGTAAGCTTACTAAATGTAAAAACCAATGGGAAAATAGATGATGTTCTACCTCTATACTTTTCAGGAATGTTAAGAATTTGAAAGTACATAACCCAAAGTTTGTGTTTCGAACGAGCTTTACCAATTGGATTTGTAATCCCAATATCATCTGCATAAATAGCTAATTGAATATGATGATGTGTATTTGATACCTTCGTAAACTCTTTAATCTCAGACGATTGTAATAAAAACTCTAGCATCGTCATAAGTGGAACAACTGATCCTTTACCAACAATCTTTATAGTAGGCATAAAAAATACATTTTAAAAATATTTTTCACGAGAATATTGCGATGATAATTTTTTACAGGAATCATTGAGCTTTTTTTACATCATAAATTGGGTCAGTAAATAGCTCTTTTAAAGTTGAAAATATAACATCTAAAACAGTCTGAAAACATCTGTACTTAGACTGCAAATGTAGAGCTAACATACCAAGATAATCATTATTTAAATCATCAACATTATCATACACTATTTGATCAACTATTATATTAGGTTCAGTGTTATCATCAAAAGTATTATTTTCTTTAGTACAATTAGCAATGTGCTTTTGATAACCATATAAACTTTTAAACTTGGAAAAACAATTAATACAAAACACTGCGGCACAATTACCATGTAATTTTAAATGATTTCTTATTTAAGTGTAAGTATCTGAAATAAAAGGACAATTAGCACAATAAAATGTTACCTTTCTTTTGGTTATTTGAGGTCTATTGCAGTTGGATGAGTCTGCAACTAACTCTGTACCACTCTCAGTTTCTATAGATATATTTGTTGATGATGTTGTAGAGCAAGCTGAATAATTTTTTAATGATGATTGTGATTGATAATTAAGAGAGGGATTGAAGGAGATGTGTTGATCTGTATTGACAGCAGAATTAATTTGATTTCTTTATGAATTGTTAAAGTCTTCTAAATGAACTAAAAACCCGTTTAATGGATAGCCATTTGAAATATCAATGAAACTAGAAACTTCTACAGTCATTTCTACCGATTGCTAACATATTAATGCAGGA